CCAGCCTCTCTCCACTTTCCTGCATTGCCTCTCATAAGCTTGTAGCACAGGCAACCTTAGCCTCAGGCTCTGCTTTCTGAGAAATATAGGCAGAGACATATTTTTTGTTATTTTTCTTCAGGTATTGGTGGTGATGCTGTCAGGAAAATTTACTTCAAAACACTACCATTAAATACCTTGCTTGCATTTTAATGGGTACTTGGCACATGGTAGAGTCTCAGAAGGGACATTGAAAGTAAAATGATCTTTTACATGCCCAATTGTTATTTAGGTTCTTTTTAATTGAGAGCTTATTGAATTCTAAAATCCTATATTTTTATTAGTGAGTATTGATGAGAAAGGAAACTTCACTTCCGGCATTTTAGAAGTTTGTCAGCTAGTGTCTGAGCATCTAGGAGAGTCCTTACCTGGCTGAGGATCTGCCCCTGTCCCTCTGCATTTCCATTGTCATCCACTCTTGCTGCTAGTGTGGAGAAGAGCAAAAGATGACTTTAAAGCTGTAATTTAGAAATTCTGTGTTGGGTCCTTCCTTGTCCTTATTTCATCATGTGAGATTCTGGAACCCTCAGAAATGATTCTGTAGCATCATGTACGTGCTGCCATGTTATTCAGTCCAGATAACTCAACAATTTAATATATTGGAGTATGCAAAAAGCAGGAAAAGTTCTCTCTAGGTCAATATCCATCCATCCATCCATCCATCCATCCATCCATCCATCCATCCACCCATCCATCCATCTATCCACCCACCCACCAAGCAACCCACCCATCCCCACATCTATCTACCTTCCTACCAATCCATTCACCTACCCACCTACCTACCCATCCATTCACCCACCCACCCACCCACCCATCTACTCACCCACCTACCCACCCACCCATCCACCCATCCATCTATCCATCCATTCACCCACCCAGCCACCCCCTATACACAACCATCTATCCACATGCCCAACCATCCAGCCACCCACCCATCCATCCAGCCACCCACCCACACATCCATCTACCCACCCACCCACCAACCCACCCATCTGTCTGTCCTTCCATCTGTCCGTCCATCCACTCATCCTCCCACACACCCATGTATTTCAGCATAGCCAGCTCTGGTGTTTGTGCTATGTAAACTTTATAGAAATGTCCTATGCCATTTCTCCAGTTGATCCCTTCACTGTTTCTTCCTGTAAGCCAAAATGCCCAGCAAACTCTCAGCTTCTGGCTTCTCATGAAGTCACAGATACCTCAGACGTGAGTCTCCCTACCTCATTGGTCTCCGCTAACTGGTGAAGCCGGGAAGCAGCATGTGGTGCTGAGAGGTGCTCTAATGCAGTGACAAAGAGGGAGAGCTGAGGACCTTGTCCTTGGATTGCATCAAGGTTCCATCACTTCCCAGCTGTGTGACCCTGGTAAAGTCCTCTGTACACTTGAGGGGCACTTGGTGAAACGAGGCTATTACTGCTGGCACAAGCATCTGCCTCACAGAGACTCTGTCAGAGTTGGGGTGGCACAGGGGGGCCCATGGGCTGGTTTCTGCTGTGGTCCCCAGATACCCAGACTGTGTAGACCTTCTACTTCTACGCCAGGGAGACCCAGCACCCCATGCAGGGTGGTACCACACGACCCAGTGTGAGACCAGACTCTGGGGAGCCCCCAGCTCCCTTCAGCCTTAAAATCATCTCAGGTCACCAAGAATTCTGCAAAAAGATGCTTTCCAGGACTCACTCCTCTTTGCCAGGATCATTTTCTGATCTGCAACGCCAACTCCCCTGACAGCTGTTGGCTCTGTTTTGCCTCCATCACAGGAGACCCGACACAGAGACCCTAAAAGACAACTTCCTTCTGGCCATGCATGCTTCCTTCCACGCCCTCTGATTTCCAGAAAGTGATCATTGATGGAACAAGAGGGCACTCATGGCATTTGCAAGGGCTTCACCCTTAAGGCTTTTGAAGACAGCAGGACCACGCCTGTGCTGGCTTTGTATGTGTGTTTTTTCTTTTCCATTTACAGTAATTTGATTTTATTTTACTTAAAACACTGTCCTATTTTACAGATTGCTCCTCCCCCACCTAGCACAGCCTATGAATTATGCAGGGAAGGTTTAGAAACTGGAGTAGTTGCCACCTCGGGCTGTGGGTGTGTCACTGGCCTGCCTGCCTGAGTCTCATTGGTAGTCAGGTTTCCACCCAGTGCTGTGAACTTGGCCACCTTGTGTTGGAACAGAGGACACATTGAGGCAAGGACAAAGTTTTGTCTGTTCTTATTTTGTAGAAAGCCCCCTTCTTGAAGGGATTCTTTTATTTATAAATCTACCATGTGTGAAAAACAGATCTTCTGAGACTGGGCATGGTGGTGCACCCCTGTAATCCCAAGCCCTGGGGATGCTGAAAAGAGGAGGATTGTTACAAGTCTGAACTGCATAGAGAGACTCTGTACCAAATACATAGAAGCAGGTCATCTGGCATAAGTCAAGATGTTGTATGCTGCAGGCTTTTTTAGGAAACAGAGTGTCAAGGCAGGGGATCCACACAGCAGTTCTTTCAAGAACAGTTGATATTGGACGCAGTGCCCATGCCTATAGTTCCAGATACCTGAGAGGCTGAGGCAGAAGGAGCCCATGTTTGAGGTTATGCTGTGTGATTTAGTGAGACTTTGTCTCTAAAGAAAAATAAATAAATAAAAAGCCCCACAGGCAGAGCTCAGTGGTGGAACGCTTGCTTAGTATGCAGTAGGCCCTGGGTTCCAGCCCCAGTACTGAAAAACAAAAACAAAAAGATGCAAGTTGCTATTTGCTGAGGGCTGTGACCTCCCATCTCTTTGCAAGTACAGGAAAGGAGCTCCTAGCTCCACAATGACTTAAGTTAAATACGGAGACAGAATCCATGCTTCTCCACCTTCCAGCCCTGAGAAGGGTCCTGGTTGCAGAGTGGGCAGAGCACGGTGCTCAGGGCAGCTGCTCACACTCCTAAGGACTGGGGTGCAGGGTGAGGGTGTGCTAACCTGTGGGGTGCTTTGCCTTGTTTCCCTGGGGTTGTCATATGCATAGGGGAGTTGGTGTCCACGGCACGGTCATTTTACTAACGCAATCCTCTGCTGATCAGGACCTGCGAGCAAGATTTCCCATATGATCTGTATTCAGCATGTGGTGGGTGCTGACGAATGGGGCACTTGTCACCATGGTGTTGGGCCCCAAATGGAGCTGGTTATTATTTTATTGTGATTATTTGTGGTCTGCCATCCTGGACCCAGGTGAGGGTTTCAAAGGCACATTACCCCTTTGTGGGTTTCCTCTGATTCCTCATTCTTGCTCCTTCCAGGACACCATCTAGTGGAGACATCTCAAAGATGATTCCTCAGTGATGCTAGGGAAGCCCAGGTTCTGGTCTTGGCCACCACCAATAGCTTCATAACCAGCCCTCCTTTCCTTCTGCTGACACTCAGATACTTTGCAACCTTTTCCATTCTTTTCAACTCAAACTGTGTTTTCTGACAAAGGCCCAAAAGTTGGATTGACAGAATGCTTCTCCCTCCAAGTACTAAGCAGCTATGATCACGTAAAGCTTCAGAGGAGAGGTACCTTATGAGTATGCACTGTCTCAGTTTCTTTTCTCTTGCTGCTGGGACAAAATACCTGACACCCAGAATTAAGGAAGGAACGGTTTATTTAGCTCATAGTTTGTGGAGGTTTCAGTCCATACTCAGCTGGCTCCAAGGCAGAGCGACACATGGCAGAGGGCAGCTGTTCATGGTGGAGGAAAATAGCAAAACAGTGAGAGAGAAAAAGGGGGGAGTAGTGGCAGAGAGCAAGCCTCTCTCCCTCCCTTATATTGCATTCAGGCTGTCTGTTTGGGGTGGGTATAGCACTCACAGCCATAATCCCAGTATTGGGTCATGAATCTAGAAGCCCATCCCATGGCTGCACGAGGCTTTGTGGCAAACCATAACACGTACACTTCCTGTGTGGTACGTGTCTCCCTAGGCCTCATGTCCATAATCTTTTCTTCTTTTAATTTTTATTAGTCCATGTCTGCCATACATGATGATTGCATTCCTGTGGAGAGTTGGTGCAGGTACCTACATCTTAATCCTTCCTATATCCCCTTCTCTTCTTTTCTTTCCTACCTCTTTCCACCTCTTGTTTTTCTTCCCTTTTGCAAAAGATGTATGTCTTCTTGTTTCCTTTTATCTGTCTTTTATTTTTCTCTTTAGTTTACTTATACTTTGGGTTGCTCATATAAGAGAAACTATGCAATATGCAAACACAACACCCACTGAATCTTACTTAAGGACACAATCTAACCATACGATTCCTCCTGCTTGTGGTCAACCTGGCAAAATAAAAATACAAGAGGTAGACATCACCAATGACAGTGACTGGAAAAGACCAGATAATGAGAAACAGGGAGATAGATTTTTTTTTTTTTTTTTTGGCAAAAGGGTAACAATAAGAGATGGAGGCGAGAGAGAAAGAGAAGAAGATGAAAAAAAATTGACATAAGATGTGCTAGGTACCTGTACCAACTCCCCATGAGGAGTGAATGGAATGATGGAAAAACTAGCTCTGCAGCATGAGAAGCTCTGATACGAGCAGGAGAGCTGTTTATCTGATTACAATTGCCTGGTACAGGGACTGGCGTGGGAATATAGCAGTGTGATAGCCATCGCTGGCACAGGTGATAGTCAGGTCTCTTTATGGTTGGCAGGAACCCCTGGCTGTTACCTTTATCTTTTCCATGAAGTTATACTCAATCAGCAGCAGTCTGTCATCCAGCTTCCTTGTGACAGTGATCTGTGTTCAGCCAGTGGTGACTGTGGTGGAGGAGGGACCCCGGGGAGGTCGTCCTTCCCCTCGACTCAGTGACCCTTTCGTGGTGAATCTATTCTGGTAGTGTGTGCTTCAACTCACTGAGCTAAAGTACTACAGTGCTGGGTGTAATGCAAGAGATAAGAGTACATAATAATCCTGGCTACACCTGACAGTTCCTTCTTTCTTTATGTTTTTTAGCGACAAGGAACTGGGGCAACCAATGGAAAAGACAAGACATCAGGAGAAAATGGTAAGAGGGCGGGAGCAGTCCAGCTATCCCCTCCTGGTCCATCTGCAGCCTTGGGCATGCAGCGGGTGTGGCTCATGCCTCCCACCCAAGTCGGCTTGCTATTTGTGTCTGTGCCTCTACACAGAGTAGATTTAGCAATTCACAGCAAGCACTGGGGTCTGGCTTCCAGAAGAAAACAGAGCTCGCTAGCTAAATACAGTGGTAAGAGTGGTTTCCCTCCCAAAGAGGACTCCCTTTTTGGGCAACATGGTAATTATAATGCAAATGTAGTTCTCTGCTTTCTTCATTAGGGTTGGTGAGAACCTGTCCAAGTTGTTGTGAGGATAAAATGAGATAAGTGCTTTGAAAACTGTGAAGTGCTCGACTCTGGGAGGGAGGTTTGAAAACTTGCTTCACCCCGCATAGTGCCCAGCGTGGTGCTGGGTCCAGGGTGGTGCTGAGCTAGCCTGTGCTCCCTGCAGGGACTCTAGCAAAATACAAATGATAGTCATGTGGGGTGAATGTGCACCCTATCTCTCCAGGCTCTGCTGAGGCCTTAAATTGTGGGGACAGACTTATATCTTTAATTTTTCCAGTAGTAGTGGCAATTGAACCAAAGCACTGCGCTTCACCCCCACCCATAAGTGGGCCTTGAGCTTCGATCTTTCTGTCCCAGCCTCCAAGTAGATCATGCTAATTTTTAGTGTTGAGAATCTGGAGAGTGGTGTGGGGAAGCTGGAGGTGGGTAGCAACCAGAGGCACAGGGGTCACGTGGAAAGCAGTCCTCATTTTAACCTAGGTCCCCAGCTGGAGCAGGTGTGGTGGAGGATGCATGGAATCGTGCAAGCTCTCCATGGGCACAGAGGGCCCTGATGTGGCCCGGCGGGCTAGATTCCCGCTGTCCTTGCTTTTCACTCATTCCAGAGCAGTGTCCTTTTTTGTGGAGAGTGACTCTTGCCTCCCATTGGATGAGATTCATGCTGGCATCTACTAAACAAATTTTGAGTTACACCAATCACAAGTGCACCTGAAAAAATTCCCCGGGGCCCAGGGGTGGTGGTGCACACCTATAATCCTAGCACTCAAGAGGCTGAGGCAGAAGAATCAAGGTGAGTCCACAGCTAGTTTGGGCTATGTGCTGAGTTCTAGGCTGGTCTGGGTACATAGTGAGACTTTGTCTCAAAAAAAATTCCCTAGGGACTGAAAATACTTTGGATTCTCAGGAGCACTCCTTCTGGTCATCCTCATGCTCCTGGCCAGGGTCAGTTTGGTGACCCCTCGGGTGTAGGGATTACTGTGTCACTAGGTAGAAAATCGTGTGATCGGAGTCAGGGGGTGGAGTGGAGGAAATGGTAACTGCCTAAAGGGGAAGGGCTTGCTGTGGGCCATAGGGGAGCCCCTGAATGTGGAGTGCCGAGGGGCCCGCTGACTCGCCCATCTCCTACACCCACACGCACCTGTCAACTGGTGCTCATACCCATTGACCCTCACAACCTCAGAGCTGTGGAGGTTCAAAATCCAGAGACTTCTCAGAGCCCCTCTGCTCGGCTGGCTCTCACTTCTTTGGATCTTCAAAACTCCTGAAGAACTCAGAGAGCTTCGTTGAACTTTGTAGAACTTTGGTTCTGTCTATCCAAGGCTCCCACATTAGAAATTAATAGTGGAGAAATCATAAACAGAGTTTACTTTTATTTTACTAAAAAGTAATAAACCTTCTACAGGTTAACCTGAGCAACAATTTCTCTTTATGAAAAGTATTATATTTTCCAAAACAGAGAAATATTTAGTGAAGAGACAAGCCATGGCCTATGTTCATGTACATTTCCTCAGTGTCTGGCTTAATGACAGGCAGTTGGAGTCTGTTTTGATGTCCTGTGGTAGAAGTCCTTAAAACATTCCAGTGTGCACTTGTGAGAGGGTGAGATTTTAAGAAGAAAATGATGTTTTAAGATCAAGCCACACCTTGTATAATAGCAATGTCTTTCATAAAATCAACAATGATTTTTGATTGAGTGGGCTCCCCCAGAGGGGGTAAGGCACCCCAGAGTTTCTGGCCTACACTTGGAGAACTGCTGCATTGTCAGGCATTGTCCCGGCATGGCTGGAGTCTAGAGAGGAGGCTTGGCAGAGTCTGAGCCAGAGGCAGGCCTGTGGCTCGCACACGTCTGCGTGCCAGCTGTCCCTGGGCAGCCCCTGGGCCTTTGATGCATGACTGCATCCAGGGCTTGCCCCAAAGGGCGCTGTCAGCTCAGTTCCCAGACTGCCACTTCTGCTGTTCAAAAGCAGGACTCTGGCACACCTGAAGACTGGTTCAACCAGTAGAAACTGAGAGAGTCTCTTCTGAAGGTTTAAAAATTAATCGAATGGAAAAATTCAAGATGCTATGAATAAAGCTTTTCATTACATAATTCTAGATATTAAAAGATATTTGCCTTTGAGTGGTAAAAGAGATTATTTGATAATTATAGGATAATGGCACTGTATAAATCTAAATTGTTATTAACATGCAGTACCTTATTTTCAGGTAAAACTGCTTATATATGATATATGCACATGATATAGTATTATAATAAGTATTTTTTAGAGACTTTTGCCTCTTAAAAGGAGCTATGATAAAAGCCAGCAGTAGCCAAATACAGATTGGGTAAAACCTTCTAGAAGTAGGACAGATGATATTTTTCCTAGAGACCCTTAAGTTGCTTAATGTCTGATTTTTTAAACTTCTGGATCTTGGAATTTCAGTTTTCACTTAACATTCCATTCCATTGAAATTCAAATTGTTTTACTCTGTCACACAGGTACCTAGGGAAATCTATTATGTTAATGTATGTTTCTTATAATAGCAAATGCAATTGCCTCTCTGCGCCGGAGGAGCAAGGAGCCCAGGGGACAGCCTTGTGCAGTGCAAGGTGTCCAGGGCTAAGAGATTAGGGCAGGAGCTGCTTAATCCTAGACTGAGCATCTCCGAAGTCCGTTGGCTGCCTGCAAACTAGAATGTCACTATCCAAATGTCATAAATTGACTTGAGGTTTCTATGTAACATTTAAAGCTGTGAGGATGGTGGGAGTGAATGATAGGGGTTTTGAAATGATTTGTATCCATTAGGATCTCAGTGAGGGCCAGTAAAACTTCAAAGGGAGCTTATACATAGGTTTGCTGGAACTTTGTTTCATGATTGAGACATAGCTTTCGTGACTTTTGGTATTGTCCTTATGGCACTTGCTGACATGAAGTATGACACAGATCCACTGTCTGCTACCCACAGGGCCTTGAAACCCTCCTCATCCTGCCAAGGTGCCAACTTCTGAATCCACAGCCCAACCAATCCAGTTGTTCTTATAACTCTAGATTTTATGGAATCACCTGCTGTACGGAGATAACTTTTTCAGAAATAGTAAGCTTAAAAAATGGTGAAGGAAGATGAGTTTGTTTTACTGAGAATAAGAATTGGTGTCCTTATCAATCTGAATTTTATAGCAATTATAATAAGGCAAAAATTATCCTAGCTAAACACATGTCCTTATTGTGATGTCTCTGTGCTAACAATATGTATTCATATGTATATACTATGAGAAACCATGTTTTCAAAGGTACAAATAAATTATTAGGCTATATATAAAAAAGAAATATTAAGCTTAAAGATTTTTTTTTTAAATTTAGAAAATATAAATTTGGCAGAACCTGGACTATCCAGAGGTTTTTATTGCTCTGTGACTAGCATATTCATTATTTGCTTAGTCAGGCCCAAGGTTTCATTTGTTTCTTGACATAATTTTCTACTTGAGTGAAATAATAGTTCATAGCTCCAGGGTCACATCCCTTTATCCAGTCTAGGTAGCTAAATTAAATTCAAACATGTTTATAAATACACAGCTACATGAATCTAGACTATTTGTTACTATTTGACTGAAACCAAGAGTTTTTTTTTTTTTTTTTTTGCAAGACAACTATTGGGATGCTATCTTTTTTTTTTTTTTTTTTTTTTTTTTTTTTTTTTTTTTTTTTTTGCAAGACAA